GGTTGTGGACAGGTGTCTTTTATACTGATAACAAGTTCAAACAGGTGCCATTAATATAGGTAACGAGTGGAGGACAGAGGAGCCTCTTAAAGAAGAAGTTACAGGTCTGTGAGAGCCAGAAATCTTGCTTGTTTGTAGGTGACCAAATACTTATTTTCCACCATAATTTGCAAATAAATTCATTAAAAATCCTACAAATGTGATTTTCTGGATTTTTTTTTCTCATTTTGTCTGTCATAGTTGACGTGTACCTATGATGAAAATTACAGGCCTCTCTCATCTTTTTAAGTGGGAGAACATGCACAATTGGTGGCTGACTAAATACTTATTTTCCCCACTGTAGGTTGCTTAACACCAGTGGTGTTAGAGAGAAGAATGCGAGCTTCAGATGCGAGCTTCAACTGGAAGCCAGTGGAGTGTGTAGAGGAGCGGGGTGACGTGAGAGAACTTGGGAAGGTTGAACACCAGACGGGCTGCGGCGTTCTGGATGAGTTGTAGGGGTTTAATGGCACAGGCAGGGAGCCCAGCCAACAGCGAGTTGCAGTAATCCAGACGGGAGATGACAAGTGCCTGGATTAGGACCTGTGCCGCTTCCTGTGTACGGCAGGGTCGTACTCTGTGAATGTTGTAGAGCATGAACCTACAGGATCGGGTCACCGCCTTGATGTTAGCGGAGAACGACAGGGTCTTGTCCAGGATCACGCCAAGGCTCTTTGCACGGAGTTGTCAACCGTGATGGCGAGATCATGGAACGGGCAGTCCTTCCCCGGGAGGAAGAGCAGCTCTGTCTTGCCAAGGTTCAGCTTGAGGTGGTGATCCGTCATCCACACTGATATGTCTGCCAGACATGTAGAGATGCGATTCGCCACCTGGTTATCAGAAGGGGGAAAGGAGAAGATTAATTGTGTGTCGTCTGCGTAGCAATGATAGGAGAGGCCATGTGAGGAGATGACAGAGCCAAGTGACTTGGTGTATAGCGAGAATAGGAGAGGGCCTAGAACTGAGCCCTGGGGGACACCAGTGGTGAGAGCACATGGTGCGGAGACAGATTCTCGCCACGCCACCTGGTAGGAGCGACCTGTCAGGAAGGACGCAATCCAAGAGTGAGCCGCGCCGGAGATGCCCAACTCGGAGAGGGTGGAGAGGAGGATCTGATGGTTCACAGTATCAAAGGCAGCAGATAGGTCTAGAAGGACGAGAGCAGAGGAGAGAGAGTTAGATTTAGCAGTGTGGAGAGCCTCTGTGACACAGAGAAGAACAGTCTCAGTTGAATGACCAGTCTTGAAACCTGACTGGTTTGAATCAAGAAGGTCATTCTGAGAGAGATAGCAAGAGAGTTGGCTAAAGACAGCACGCTCAAGAGTTTTGGAGAGAAAAGAAAGAAGGGATACTGGTCTGTAGTTGTTGAAATCGGAGGGATCGAGTGTTGGTTTTTTGAGAAGTTGTGCAACTCTCGCTCTCTTGAAGACGGAAGGGACATAGCCAGCGGTCAAGGATGAGTTGATGAGCGAGGTGAGGTAAGGGAGAAGGTCTCCGGAAATGGTCTGGAGAAGAGAGGAGGAGATAGGGTCAAGCGGGCAGGTTGTTGGGCGGCCGGCCATCACAAGTCGCAAGATTTCATCTGGAGAGAGAGGGGAGAAAGAAGTCAAAGCATAGGGTAGGGCAGTGTGAGCAGGACCAGCGGTGTCATTTGACTTAACAAACGAGGATCGGATGTCGTCAACCTTCTTTTCAAAATGGTTGACGAAGTCATCCACAGAGTGGGAGGGGGGGGGGGGGGGGGGGGGTGGCAAAGAGCTTCCTAGGGTTAGAGGCAGATGCTTGGAACTTAGAGTGGTAGAAAGTGGCTTTAGCAGCAGAAACAGAGGAAGAAAATGTAGAGAGGAGGGAGTGAAAAGATGCCAGGTCCGCAGGGAGTCTAGTTTTCCTCCATTTCCGCTCGGCTGCCCGGAGCCCTGTTCTGTGAGCGCGCAATGAGTCGTCAAGCCACGGAGCAGGAGGGGAGGACCGAGCCGGCCGGGAGGATAGGGGACATAGAGAGTCAAAGGATGCAGAAAGGGAGGAGAGGAGGGTTGAGGAGGCAGAATCAGGAGATTGGAGGGAGAAGGATTGAGCAGAGGGAAGAGATGATAGGATGGAAGAGGAGAGAGTAGCGGGAGAGAGAGAGTGAAGGTTGCGACGGCGCATTACCATCTGAGTAGGGGCAGAGTGAGTAGTGTTGGAGGAGAGCGAGAGAGAAAGGGATACAAAGTAGTGGTCGGAGACTTGGAGGGGAGTTGCAGTGTGATTAGTAGAAGAACAGCATCTAGTAAAGATGAGGTCAAGCGTATTGCCTGCCTTGTGAGTAGGGGGGGGACGGTGAGAGGGTGAGGTCAAAAGAGGAGAGGAGTGGAAAGAAGGAGGCAGAGAGAAATGAGTCAAAGGTAGACGTAGGGAGGTTAAAGTCACCCAGATCTGTGAGGGGTGAGCCATCCTCAGGAAAGGAACTTATCAAGGCGTCAAGCTCATTGATGAACTCTCCAAGGGAACCTGGAGGGCGATAAATGATAAGGACGTTAAGCTTGAATGGGCTAGTGACTGTGACAGCATGGAATTCAAATGAGGAGATAGACAGATGGGTCAGGGGAGAAAGAGAGAATGTCCACTTGGGAGAGATGAGGATTCCTGTGCCACCACCCCGCTGACCAGATGCTCTCGGGGTATGCGAGAACACATGGTCAGACGAGGAGAGAGCAGTAGGAGTAGCAGTGTTTTCTGTGGTAATCCATGTTTCCGTCAGCACCAAGAAGTCGAGGGACTGGAGGGCAGCATAAGCTGAGATGAACTCTGCCTTGTTGGCCGCAGAACGGCAGTTCCAGAGGCTGCCGGACACCTGGAACTCCACTTGGGTCGTGCGTGCAGGGACCACCAGGTTAGAGTGGCAGCAGCCATGCGGTGTGAGGCGTTTGTATAGCCTGTGCGGAGAGGAGAGAACAGGGATAGACATACACATAGTTGACAGGCTACAGAAAATGGCTACAATAATGCAAATGAGATCAGAATGAAATGAACTAAACATCTGGGAAAGCGAGAGAGTGGGGCCTCCCTCACTTACGTTTCACTGAAACACTCATATATATAACCCTCCCAACTTCCACTTTAGAAATTATAATTGTTGTAAACTACAGCGGTTCAATGTTTTCTAGGAATAGACTAACTTAGTTTATTCAGCTAGCTAACTTGGTACAGTATTCTTCTGTGAAAACCGTCCAGGGCACCGAATCCTATGACGCCATAGCCAACTAGCATGCCAGCCTCCAATAACACGGTTTAGCACCAATACTCGGTGTCAACAAACCACCAGTGTGTTAACACGCCAAGCAGATCATTCGTGTCCGTGTCTAACGTTGTGTAAAGTTTTGGATTAGTTTTGACCGTTTGAGTGAGTCTGTCGTCAACTTATTCAGCCAGTTAGTTAGCTAGAATAGTTAGCATACTAGCTAGCCATTGCTCTCTGTCAACGAAAAACCCCTCCACCCACGGCACGAACACACAGAGAGAGCCAAGCTAACGTTAACTAGTCACCCATGTCCTGAATTCCCTTGAACGACTCTGGTTACCAGTATGTAAAAACAAAACACAAATGTAGGTTATAACTTACACTTAGTAGCTACTGTTAGCCAGTTAAGTGCAAAGAAAATGCACTTAACAGTGCATACAGGAGGTGTTTAGCATTTGACCCCTGACCTTTCTGGATAGCGGACACCACCTATTTTGTTGGATGCCTTACTGCTGTACCCCACCCACTCAGCAACGATGGTTATTAATGCCACTTTACATGTTGCATTGATATTTTTGTTCAGTATAGTTTGAGTCATCATGCTAGTGTAGCCGGCGCGGTCTGCTCGTTGCCGACTACTGCGTTGTGTTCCGGTGCACTGAAGACAACACACTGGCGTCCTTGAAGGCACTTTATTGTGTACAACTCTCTCAATCTGTTCAACATCAAAGAGAGAAAATGTTCAAAACTCTACCCTCGACCAGAATCCGCCTCTCCCAGCCGAGTACAATGCAGACTCAATATAATCACATTCAAAAATACAAGGAATAAAATACAACATAATTGGAAAATAAACATTGCATCTGGTGTATATCTTATGTATGTGTCATATTGCATGTTATCTCTGCCAAAAACTCTGAGCTTTTAGCCTTTACATTAATACTGTGCAACATGACATAAACCATCTTTCAAATAGGTAATACATACAGTAATATGCACGAAGCAACATGTAATCCTTCACATTTGAGCTTTTCAGTGCCATTAAACACTAATCAATACATGAAAACATTTTAAATGAACACATATTTTTCACCTGATATAGGGAATACATACCTGTTCAACATCAAAGAGAGAAAATGTTCAAAACTCTACCCTCGACCAGAATCCGCCTAACATAAAAAGAACAACGTGGGCTTCGTCACAAGAGGATAGAATGACGATTGCTAACTTACAGCTAAACAAAACACGAGGTTAGCTAAGTTAGCAATTTCTCAAACTCTCAAAAATAGCTAAATTCACGACACAGCTTGATTAAATGTACGTACACTCATCATATAATATACATACAAGTTACTATGTGCACTGAAACGTTTTAGTTTTAACAGGTATATCAAGTTTATATCACGCCGAAGTGAACACATACCTCTCCCAGCCGAGTACAATGCAGACTGAGAAAAGCATGACACCCCTCAGCATATAACCAAACCAACACTCTAGAGGGCGCACTTACACAACTAACTCTCCCAATATCTGTAAACTACACGAAATGCTGAACAATACAATATTTTGGTGAAATCAACTCACAAAATAAAATAAAAAATAGAAAATGAACGGTTGCAAAAATCTGTAATTCTTTGACCTGTTACACTAGAATTGAGCAACATAACAAAATGTTGCTAGACTGCAGCACAGGAAACATTGGGTACATTACGGTAATCATACAGCCAATCACGCAGAGAGCAGCTAGCAATCTGCCCTTCCGAAAATGGCGCTGTCCTGTGTGGCGGTATGCCGCGGTTTGTCTGTGGCATTGTACGGAATCAGAATTAATGGGGTCACAGTTATATACTCCTCTTTCACGGCCACCTCTGGAGCAAGGTATGACAACTCATGCAAGACGTTATATACTTGTATCGTGATGTTGTGTAGTTAGTTGTCGAGACGCTGTTATGTGGCACTTCTCTGGAGTAAACTTCTTGACTGTTCGATCTGGGCAGGCAACACCCAACCACTGTTCACTGTCGGATAAAGGCTAGCTATACAATATTTTGCTGTTACTACTACATACATAGGGCAAGTAAATAACGTTACTCGCCTAGTCCTAGATATGAAATGCTGTCACAGTTCTACAGCTGTCTTCTGTACAAATCCTAACATTAGATGTTTGGCATGACAACCACCATGAGAGTTGTTGGACAGAAGACGGGACAAATAGATCTGGACCAGCTTGTAATATTAAAGTTCTGTCTTTTTATCTTATTTTGACACTGTCTGAGTTGTCCTACAAACAGTACTACTTTTAACGACAAGTCAAACTCTTAAAAGCTTGAATGTATGGTCTGCTCTTGTTTCATTACCATCTTTTTGTGTCCTTTACAGACTGCCGCTGTACAGACACTACTCATCCCCCAAATCCAGGCTAGGGATTGGCCTGCAAGTTGTGTCAAGGCTGCAAGAGGCCAATGCCAAATATGAACTCTTCCTCCAAAGATGTTTTCCTCGCTTTTATGTTCTCCATCACACTTTTACGAGAGGTAAGACTCCACTTGCCATATAACTATGTTAAACTTTGTAAGTGATATTGATTGGTCATCAAACCTCCTTAGTTTATCCTTTGTTTGGCATGATGCATCTCTTTATTTCTCTGTTTACAGATCTACATTACCTTAGAAAATGATCTGGATACAGTAAACCAATAAGATCTCATGTTTGAAGGCAAAATACACAAATGTGGCATAGCTCAATATGTAACAATCCCATGCATCACATAGGCAGGCTTCTGTGCTGCCACTACACTGAAAAGTAGCCATCTTTTGTATTATAATTCTTCAGGTATTCAGCTCCTTTTCCAAGATGCCAAAGAGGTGAAGGTGATAAAAACAAGGATGCTCACCAACAGTGTCGAAGTCCAGGACTTGCCCTATCGTGATATGGAGAAACTCAGGCAGGTCGGTCGAGGCTAGGGCATACACTTGAATAACAAGGAAAGTTATTGATAATGTGGTTAGCAGTCGTTGTAATCTGCATAAAAGGCTTTGAACTGTAACACTTCGACCTGTAATACATAGTGATACTTTTGCTATGTCTGCATGTCCAAGTCTGAAAAGTTCACCTTAGCATGGGTAGTAAATTGTAACTTTTTCTATTGTTTCGCAGTTTCGCAGAGACATGATCAAAGCCATCCCGCTGCTGTTAATTTCTATTCCTCCATTTGCCAACTACCTGGTTTTTGTCCTAATGTGAGTTAATTTCAGTAATCTCCTCAACATCCTCATTTGATTCATATTTAGTTAGAAAATAGCCTAATTCTCAAGTCAATGGGAGTTAAAATGTCAAATCATTGTACACATATGCCCCCAATGATAATACATTGTGCCCCCCCCCCCCCCCCCCCCCCCCATACAATGTATTGAAACCCCCTCCCTCCCTGTGTCCTGTCTTCCCTTCATCTCCCTGCCTTACATATTCCTCCTTCCATCCTCCATCTGGCCCTCGTCCATCTGTTCCTCCTCTCTTTTTCACATCTAGGTACCTTTTCCCCCGCCAGCTCCTGATCCGCCACTTCTGGACCCCCCAGCAGCAGACTGAGTTCCAGGGAGTGAACCATTCCCACAGGGCCCAACACCACTGGGCAGTGCTGAAGGGGCTTGAGAGTGCAGGTTCACATGTCAAAGATGGCTGCCTAAAGATCAGCCTACTAGACCTCTGCAACAAGGTGGGTGATACAGAAACGCTTAACCCCTCCCTTACATACGTCACTCTCATGTTCAAATGTGTCCATTGTCCAACATTTTGTTTGGCAAACATGGATATGTTTTCCCATAGATAACTGTAATGCAGATAATAAATGCCTCAAGACACTGTCTGACCAGTCCGTGTTTTTTTAGGTGCAAAGTGGGGTACACCCTAACATATCTGACATCCAGGCGATTCGAGGCTTGTTTTCTGGACCTCCCCTGAGTATCAAGAGAATAAACGCAGATCAGATGGTCAGTTTTTCCTGGTAGTCTTTATTCAGAAAGTCCTTGGGTTTACTGTATGTATATCAGAATCACTATATTGGGCTCCCGAGTGGCGCAGTGGTCTAAGGCACTGCATCTAAGTGCTTGAGGCGTCACTACAGACCCCCTGGTTCGATTCCAGGCTGTATCACAACCGGCCGTGATTGGGAGTCCCATAGGGCGGCGCACAATTGGCCCAGCGTCGTCCGGGTTTGGCCGGTGTAGGCCGTCATTGTAAATAAGAACTGACTTGCCTAGTTAAAAAGGTAAAATAAATAAATACATTTGTCTCAGCTGAAAAATATTACATCAACATAAGTCCCTCTCACTCTCCAGAGGCAACTCTGTCCCCTGTTCTTCCTGACTCCCCACCTCCCAACCCCCATGATTGGCACTCGACTGAACAGCCACGCCATAGAGCTGCTACAGCTGGACCGTGCTCTCAGCAGACATGGCCTGCACCAGTTGGATGACTCTGAGCTGAGACAGGTCAGTGCACATCACTTGACCTCCTAAAGATCTATGTAATTGGAATCATATCAGCAAAAACCCACATGTACAAATAGAACACATACTAGTCATTTGTCACATTGATGTATCATATTGATGATAACTTGACCCTGGTCTTGTCAGGCATGCTATGTCAGGGGACTTGACTCTGGCAGTCTCAGCGTCAACCAGTGTCAGGAATGGCTTTCACAGTGGCTCCAGTTTTCCTCTCGCCTGAAAGGTATCTAATCTCCCTCTCCCGATTGCATTGTCTGTTCGGTTAAAATATTTTTGTGGGGGAGGAGGGTGATGTTTGTCCTCATGCCTCTCTTCTATGTCCCTCTGTCCCAGAGTCGGAGGTCTCTCTGCTTGTGCACAGTATGGTCTTGCTTTCTGCCAACTACCCAAAGCCTTCCCACCTATTGACAGGAAGGAACAAGGAGTGATCTGCCACTTCCATTAATTCAGCCATCTCTCACCATGTGGGGCAGGGCAACTTTCCCATAGGGTGTCAACATCTGCAGTCTACCAACAGAAGAAATACCAAGCTTTACAACTCACATCTCACTTTTAGAAGGTGATTACTTAATGCAGTGGATTTATTTGGTGAAGGAAATGTGATAACATAACAACTGTTGCAATCTCGAACTGGTCAATGTTTTCAGGCTCAAAATCAAATCAGTTATTTGTCACGTGTACAGGATACAGCATGTGTAAATGGAACAGTGAAATGCTTATTTGCAAGCTCTGCTCAAGTGCAGTACTTAGGCTTGAATGTAGTTTTGTTTACTTGTAAAGCTGATGTTTTGTCATAAGATGTGGAGAATGTGTAGCATAGCTGGGGGGAAAAAATCTTATGTTCAGCTAACCATATTAATACAGGTAACATTTGAAAAGTAGTTTGCCAACAAGTCTGCCGACATTCCAACCCACACCTACTATATAGCCTTTTTGGAGAGCATATGGTGTCATTTTACTGGTCATATATACAGGGGGTGGTAGTACTTGGTACAGTAGTAAGTAAGCTTTTGAGATTGGGAATTGAGAGTAGATAGTACATATGTACTATGGAATGTTGTTACATACGACAGCATTGGCATGCAACATTAGGTGCAATTGTACGGTGATATTGAATCTCAGGACACTGGGGAATAATATGCCATTTAGCAGACGATTTAATCCAAAGCGATTTAGTCATGCGTGGTCCTGGGAATCGAACCCACTACCTTGGCGTTACAAGCACTTAGCGCTACCAACTGAGCTACAAAGGACACACTGCAATTCAACAGGCCTTTCGAAGCATTTACATGTTTCAGCTATGATGGCACTTTACTTCAAGCATTATTTACTTGATAGGAAATGCATTGAATATTGGAAAGATTTAGTTGGAACCTTATACACAGCTACAGAACTGTTGTAACATGAGGTTTTTCTTGGAAATACTAGGATCATTTTTTTAAATAGGAAATGCCCTCAATCCATGTGCCTTGCTTGTGGACTGGTGCAATCAAATTGAAATGTATGGGATTGCTAGCCAGTGGTTTTGAAGTTGCCAATAAGATTCTCAGATACTAAATATGCAAACTGTTTTCTTACAAAAAAATTTTTAATCTACTTGTTCAACTCCTTTGGGGATTGTGTTTTGAAATCAGTTCTCTGGTGTATTAAGGTAATCTGTGTCTGAAATAAAATGTACTATCTGAAATACTTGTCAATGTATAGAAACACTATTTACAGTAAGAACAAACAAGTTAGATCTGCACATTGCATGTTTACAAGCATTGTTGTCACCAATTATTTACATAAACCTACAGCCTTGTCCATAGATTCATTCAAGTGTTCCGCTCAGTGAGGAGCCATAGCAAATGCTCCACTTGGACAACACTAGAGGGCATCAGGGTCAATCAACACTAAGGTGAAATGTATTGACTGAAATCTTTAATAAAAATCCTTAGAAATTGGGGAACCATGAAGAGCATTACAGATTAAATACCTTTTCTGAAAAATAAATTCTAGAGTAGAATATGTTCATAAGATCAGAGTTAAGAACGTTTCACTTTCAAAAACAAGTGCAAACGCCAATTTGAGAATGCTGCCCTATTTAAATAAAAATATACTTTTCTAAAAAATAACTAAACATTGATATTCTTGGTAGGAGTCAGCATCAGTGCAAAGGCACGTTGTGTTTACATTGAGAATAAGAAGTGTAAATAAAAGTTATGGAACTCAATCACAAAATGTTTGAACATAATTTGACCTGACAGTGCAACTGACTGTCAGCCACTCCCCTCTGCTATTGGCAGGATGATCACATTACTTCGTAGCCACTGCGAATGCCCCCCATCAACATGCAGGCGAATATGATGCCCATGATCTGAAACACACACAAAAACACAGTTAGAAAACATGCAAAAGTGTGTGCGTGTGTTGAACTAGCATCTACAAATCAGCGGGTCTTCCAAGCCTAGGATTTGTATGTGCAAATGTATATGCTTGGTTGTGTGTGTTTGCTTGCTCCTACCTGCAGGAAAGCGATCACCAGTGCCGCTACAATGACCCACATGATGTTCTTCTTCAACAGCTCCTCTACAACAGTTTCACACCCCTAGATAGCAATCCGAGACAAACGTCATTCCTGACCCATACACTGTTCTGGAGGTCTTTTTGCTTGGATTAATTGGTATTTTATTTCACACAAAAATACAAAACAAATCAACCACTGGGTTGGACCTTACCGTCTGGTGTATCTTGCGTGCATCCTCCATGGCCCCCTGACCACAGCCAACAGTGACATTGATGCAGCAGGAGTCTGGAACAGAGTTTTTCACAGAGCCGAACTTGCCTATCCAGTCAGTGGCGTTGGTCACTCCACAACATTTCAGCTGGATGAAGAACAGCAAGAATGGTGAGAATGAGTTTGAGCATGACGCGGGTAAACAGGGAACGCCAGATGGAGGAAGAGACAACAGCAAAATGAGGTAGTAAGGTTATGTTGGTTAGATTGGGGGAAACACAGACCGGAAGCAGGCCAGGATATTGCTTAATAATGTCAACAGAAGACAAGACAAGATAAACATGGCATAGAAGACACACACTAAAATGATAAGAGTAATGTTACATGGGGGAGGTGCCAAATTAAGCAAATAAAGTCAGAAATATATACACAATGCATCTTAACATTTTGACAAATGTCTCTTTACATTTGCAGATCCAATACCTTCAGAATGTATTCACACCCCTTGACTTTTTCCACATTTTGTTGTATTACAGCCTGAATTTAAAATAGATTAAATTGAGCTTCGTCACTGGCATACACACAATACCCCCATAATGTGGAATTATGTTTTTCACATTTTTTACAAATTAATAAAAAATGAAAAGCTTGAATGTCAATAAGTATTCAACACCTTTGTTATGGCAAGCCTAAATAAGTTCAGGAGTAAAAATGTGCTTAACAAGTCACAGAAGTGGACTCACTGTGTGCAATAGTGTTTAACGTGATTTTTGAATGACTACCTCATCTCTGTACCCCACACATACAATTATCTGTAAGGTCTCTCAGTCGAGCAGTGAATTTCAAATAGATTCAACCACAAAGACCAGGGAGGTATTCCAATGCCTCACAAAGAAGGGCACCTATTGGTAGATGGGTAAAAAAAACAACATTTAATATCCCTTTGAGCATGGTGAAGTATTAATTACACTTTGGATGGTGTATCAACACACCCAGTCATTACAAAGATACAGGCGGCCTTCCTAACTCAGTTGCCGGAGAGGAAGGAAACCGCTCAGGGATTTCACCATAAGGCCAATGGTGACTTTAAAACAGTTAGAGTTTAATGGCTGTGATAGAAGAAAACGGAGGATGGATCAACAACGTTGTAGTTACTCCACAATAGTAACCTAATTGACAGAGTGAAAAGGAAGCCTGTACAGAATAAAAAATATTCCAAAACATGCATACTGTTTGCAACAAGGCACTAAAGTAATACTGCAAAAAATGTAGCAAAGCAATTAACTTTTGGTCCTGAATACAAAGTGTTATGTTTGGGGCAAATTCCAATCCAATACATTACTGAGTACCACTCTCCATATTTTCAAGCATAGGGGTGGCTGCATCATGTTATGGGTATGATTGTAATTGTTAAGGACTGGGAAGTTTTCAGGATAAAAAAGAAACAGAATGGAGCTAAACACAGGAAAAATCCTAGAGGAAAACCTGGTTCAGTCTGCTTTCCACCAGACACTGGGAGATTAATTCACCTTTCAGCAGGACAATAACCTAAAAGGCCAAATCTACACTGGAGTTGCTTACCAAAAAGACAGTGAATGTTCCTGAGTGTCCGAGTTACAATTTAGACTTAAATCTACTAGAAAATCTATGGCAAGACCTGAATATGGTTGTCTAGCAATGATCAACAACCAATTTGACAGAGCTTGAAGAATTCTGAAAATAATAAATGTTGGGCAAATGTTGCACAATCCAGGTGTGGAAAGCTCTTAGAGACTTACCCAGAAAGACACAGCGGTAATCTCTGCCAAAGGATCTTCTACAAAGTATTGGTGTGAATACTTATGTAAATGAGATATTCCTGTATTTAATTTTCAATAAATTTGCAAAAATTCCTGAAGATGTGTTTTCACTGTTAATAGGGGGTATTGTGTGTAGATGGGTGAGCATTTTTAAACACATTTAATCCATTTTGAATTCAGGCTGTAACAACAACATTTGGAATAAAATCAAGGGGTATGAATACTTCCTGAAGGCACTGTAAGCACATCACTACACCTAAAAAGATCAATGTATGTCAGTTGTAATGGTTGATACTAACGTCAATTTGCAGGTTATCCAGGGCCTTCTTGAATTCATCTGTGCCATTGCTGTACTTGATGACTATGTCATTGAGACCGTCATGGACAATGACTGTCAGCTTAGTAGAGGACAGAAACATGGTGGAATTACAAAATTATGTTGATACAATATAGACAGTCTGTAGACTGTACATACAGTTACTGTATAGACACATAGATGTGTAAAAAAACTGCCTGAAAATATGAGTATACTTACTTTGCCTCTGAAGACATATCCAGCGATGGCTGCACCAATCTCAGTGATAATGATCAGACCCAGAAGGATAGAAAACTTGGGAGAAAATATACAATTAAAAAAAGGTATTAGCTCAGAGTTCAGATAGATACTCTACATGACCCAAAGTATGTGGACACCTGCTCGTCAAACATTTCATTCCAAAATCATGGGCATTAATATGGAGTTGGTCCCCCCTTTGCTGCTATAACAGCCTCCACTCTTTTGGGAAGGCTTTCCACTAGATGTTGGAACATTGCTGCGGGGACTTGCTTCCATTCAGCCACAAGAGCATAAGTGAGGTCGGGCACGGATGTTGGGCGATTAGGCCTGGCTCGCAGTCGGCGTTCCAAATTATCCCAAAGGTGTTCAATGGGGTTGAAGTCAGGGCTCTGTGCAGGCCAGTAAAGTTCTTCCACAACGATCGACAAACCATTGATGTATGGACCTCACTTTGTGCATGGGGGCATTGTCATGCTGAAACAGGAAAGGGCCTTCCCCAAATTGTTGCCACAAAGTTGGAAGCACAAAATTGTCTAGAATGTCATTGTATGCTGTAGCGTTAAAGATTTCCCTTCACTGGAACTAAGGGGCCTAGCGTGAACCATAAAAAACAGCCCCAGACAATTATTCCGCCAAACCCAGATTTGTCTGTCGGACTGCCAGATGGTGAAGCGTGATTCATCACTCCAGAGAACGTGTTTCCACTGCTCCAGAGTCAAATGGCGATGAGCTTTACACCAATTCAGCAGACGCTTGGCATTGTGGTGATCTTAAGCTTGTGTGCGGCTGCTCAGCCATGGAAACCCATTTCATGAAGCTCGCTGATGAACAGTTATTGTGCTGACGTTGCTTCCAGAGGCAGTTTGGAACTCGGTAGTGAGTGTTGCAACCAAGGACAGATTATTTTTACACGCTATTCGCTTACGCACTCGGCGGTCCCGTTCTGTGAGCTTGCGTGGCCTACCACTTCGTGGCTGAGCCGTTGTTGCTCCTCGACATTTCCACTTCACAATAACAGCACTTACAGTTGACCGGGGAAGCTCTAGCAGGGCAGATTTGTTGGAAAGGTGGCCCACGTTGAAAGTCACTGAGCTCTTCAGTAAGGCCATTCTACTGCCAATGTTTGTCTATGGAGATTGCATGGCTG